CCCCCAATCCTGTCCAGCATCCCCCAGTCCTGTCCAGCATCCCCCAATCCTGTCCAGCATCCCCTAAATCTGTCCAGCATCCCCCAATCCTGTCCAGCATCCCCCAATCCTGTCCAGCATCCCAAACCTGTCCAGCATCCCTCAAATCTGTCCACCATCCCCCAAATCTGTCCAGCATCCCCCAGTCCTGTCCAGCATCCCCCAACCCTGTCCAGCATCCCCCAAATCTGTCCAGCATCCCCCAGTCCTGTCCACCATCCCCCAGCTCTGTTCAGCATCCCCCCATCCTGTCCAGCACTCCCCAATCCTGTCCAGCATCCCCCAATCCTATCCAGCATCCCCTAAATCTGTCCAGCATCCCCAAACCCTGCCCAGCATCCCCCAATCCTGTCCAGCATCCCCAGCCAGCAAACAGGTCAAAAGCTCTCCACCGAAACGAAACAAAAGCAGCCAAACACTCGAACCTTTACCTTTTTTAATCAAAAACATACTCTGTTACAGAATTTCAGGAAAGTTTAACTACAGTATATTATCCACAAACTAGGCCTAATGAAAAAACATACAGTGAAGCTACAAAGGAACTACTGGGAATTCTGTTGACCGCTTATCAAAAGGCAATGAAAGGAAGAAACTCTTTTAACCAGGCTCTCATGCTCGGAAAAAAACAACCAAAAACCCTCTCTCCCGGTTTAGTTTTGGGCCGTGGGGACACCCTGCAGCCGAACCACAGCCCTGCAGCGCCAGGAGGACGCAGGAGGCGGTGCAGGAGCGAGAGAAAAGCGCTGTCCGGGCTGGGCGAGCTTTGTGCCAGCCCTGCAAACCCGCCGGGGGCGAGTCGCTCACGGGGCGCGGCAGCGGCAGCAGCAGCAGCAGCCAAGAGCGCCGGGAGCTCCGGGAGCTCTGGGAAGGGGTTTGCCAGCGGCGGATCTGCTTCCACAGGGCTCTGAGAGGCAGAGCCAGCTCCCGGGGAGCCTCGGGATCAGCCCTCTGAGCCGGCACAGTCACACCCCGGGGGGATTCACGGGAACATTTGCGGGAGCGCCGTCCGGAGGAGCGCGATGGCACCACGGGAGGAGGTGCTCGGCTCCCGCGTGATGCTGGAGAAGTGCTTTGAACTAGTGGGTTTAATTTCCCTGCCCGGGACCCAAGTGCCAACGAGCTGCACGGGGGGACAGAAGTAACCAGGTAACCAGCTGAAGTGCTGATGAGTGACCCACGGGGATAGAAGTAACCAGCTGAGTGCTGATGAATGACCCACGGGGATAAGAAGTAACCAGCTGATGAATGACCCACGGGGATAGAAGTAACCAGCTGAAGTGCTGATGAATGACCCACGGGGGTAGAAGTAACCAGCTGATGAGTGACCCATGGGGATAAAAGTAACCAGCTGAGTGCTGATGAATAACCCACGGGGATAGAAGTAACCAGCCAATGAATAACCCACAGGGATAGAAGTAACCAGCTGATGAATGACCCACGTGCCTACGACAGGCAGCTTGCAACAACTCGGTCCCAAGAACAAAAAAAACCCCTGCCACCAGCCCAAAAGGAACACTCCTGTGACCAGCAGGTGCCTCTCAAAAAAATCGCACCCTATCAGAATTCAGGGCTTTGAAACCACTCCGGTGGGAAGGTTTCCTCTCCTGCACCTCTCGAGGTGTTAACTCTGAATGCCCTCACTCTGCAAACCAACAATAACTGGGATAAAACCACCTAAACCCTCTGGTGCTAATCCCAGCCCCACGGTCCGCCAGGCGAAGTTACAAAGTGTTCTTCTGAGTTTTAATTGCTTCACCCAGGGAACTGAGCGGGGCAGATGCGGGAACAGGAGGTCGGGAGATGGAGAAACACTCGCTGGGCTGGCTGGATTTGAGAGACTCGGAGCTGGGGGAGGCACAACCCTGGCACAGCCCCCGAGGTCCCTGCCCGCAGCGCACACGGGGATCATCGCGGCTGTCAGGGAGCTCTGCAGCTCTTCTTCCCCTCCCAGGCACAAAAATGACAGGCTGTCAAAGGGTTTCCAACCCATTGTGCGCTGCCTTTCATGCCTTGTCACGAGAGCACAAAAGCTAAAGGCGCATTAAAGACTTGAGGATGAGATTTATCTCATTGTGCCTTTAGAACAGCTGCGACCGCACCTCTTTGGGAACAATGCCTCTCACACAACATGCAGATTTCTCCTGATGGGCAGCCTGTGGTTTCTGGGTTCAGGTGCTGCTCCACTCTGAACATTCTGGGCCATCTGTGGCCACCCTCGTAGGCGGAGACCCACGAAAAGACTGGCCCCAGCAGCCGGATTTTTTCAGGATGCGACAAAGGCAAGAACTGATCTTCCGCTGCCAAACCCGAGTTTGGCACCACCAAAAACTGGCACAGAGGGTCCTCTGTGAGCAGCCACGCACACAGACCAACCACCCACTGTGATGGACATCCTGCAGAGCTACACAGGGGACAGGGACTCCCCTGGAGCCTGCAACAAGCAGCTCTTCAGCCAGAGCATCAGGCACTTCCCAAACGCCCAGGCACAGATTCCCAGGGGGAATCCGGCATTCCTTTTCTTCCCCCAGATCCAAGTTCTGCGCTGTGAGCTGCTGGTTAACGAGCTCCTCCGAGGACATGGTGAAAGGTGTCCCTCAGGGACGTGGGGTTTGGCGAAACGGGGCCGTGGGGAAGGAGAGGAGGCTGGAAAAGGTTCTGAACCGAAGGCCTCGAGAGAAGCAAACGCTGCTTCCTCCAGGGATCGAGGTGTTGCCACGTAAGAGGAACGACAAAGTGATGTCATCAGAAGTCAACAGCCCATGAAAACACAGAGAAACCGACCCGTTTGTGGCCATCACTCCAAAGCCATCCGCCTTCTGTGCTTCCACATCTAAGAGAGAACACTGACTCCTGGCTTCCCTCACGGGAATTCCAGCACGTGGGAAAAGCCACAGCCCTCCACAGATCCCTGCAACCACGCCAGAGACTTGGCACAAAGCTTCTGAACAGCCTCTCCCCGGGGTTTGTCCCTCTGTTAACGTGCTCCGGGTGGAGCCCCTGTCCTTCCGTGCCTGCCAAACTGAGCTCCAGCTCCCAGGGGAAGGAATTCCTGCTGCCTCCTCCTGCCCTATAAAATAGCCAAGGAGAGATATCATCCTCGGGAGGTGCTTTTACTGAGTGAAAGCAGAGAAAAGCTGGGCTTGTTTCCTGGCAGGTCTGAACCCACACGAGTTCCTGCCACTGTTGGCTGCTGCTGGGCCTGCAGAGGGGAAGGGATCCGTGGCCTCAAGGTGCAGAACTGCGTAATAGAAGCAAACTAAATTTATAAAAGGGTTTTTCCATCCTTTTATTTATGCTATTAAGCTAGAGAGAGAAAGCATACATATTGTATCTGTCGTGTGTACAGCCGATACTTTTTTTTGCCACGTTGTTTTTCTTTTTCCCCCCCGCTATAAATTTCTCTACACGAGGTCATTGCCAGGTTGATACGGGTCACCGTGATGGCATTTTAAAAAGGGCTTTTTAAAACAACCGAGGGGCATAAAAACAGGTTTGCAAACAGGTACAAAAGAAAAACCCCTGGGTCCCGGGTGTCGTACACGGTGGTGGCGAGTAAAAAGAGTCATGCTGATTAATCCTGGGACACCTGGAGCGGTTCTGCTCGAGCACAAAATATCAGAGAAGTCAGTAGTAACCATGAAAATACGCTCCTGCTACCTGGGTGCACCCCAACCCATTGCCAGCACTGAAAGCATCCGTCCATCTCCTTTAGTGTTTTAAAAAAAAAAAACCCTCACGTGGCTGCATAAATTAAAAAAAAATTAAAATCTAAGGTGTCTTTTTTTTCTTTTCCCCCCCCCCCCGAAAAAAAAAACTAATGGAGTTTTTAACCCACGATGTTATGTCTCATCCCCTCGCTTTTTTTTTTTTTTTTTTGGCAGCTTCTAGGCTTTAACCTGGAAAAAAAAATCACCGACAAAAAGTAAAGAAGTCTCCTGGCTAAACTACCATCCCCTAAACAGAACGTCGCAAATCAGCTGGGATTTTTAAAGGCCCTACACAAGGTAAATGTTCGTAACTATTAGAAGGAAATTTTCAGATATAAATATATATATATAATATATATTCTGCGTACAAAAGGCTTCCCGCGTGAAGTTTCATCACCGAGACGCCGTAAATAGAGAAGGGAAAAAAGGTTTCAAAGGGAACGGAGGGGACAAACCCAAACACTGCGAAGCCTCCCGAGGGCGCTCAACCTCCCACCTCTTAAAAGCCCCGCAATCACGACAACTTTTTAAAGTTCTGAGAGAAAACAACCGAAAAACCCCCAAATTCCGCGCGCGGTTTTTCCTGCTGAGAGCAAGGCGGCAAACGCGTTTTTTTTAAAACCTGGTTTGTTTTTTTTTGTTTTGTTTTGTTTCGGGAAAGGTTAAGCAGAAACAGAAGTTAAAATATTATCTCCGGGTTATGGACAGAACCGTTATTTTACAGATCCTCACGGCACCGGGGTCGGGTCCCTCTCAGTCCAGGGGCTGCGGGTCGGCGATGGGCATGGTGTGCAGCACCTCGTCCAGCAGCTGCAGGGCGCGGTGCAGGTGGATCTCGATCCAGCAGGGCGTCTCCTTGATGCTCTGCCGAGGGTAGTCGGGCCCCCAGCCCTTGACGAAGCTCATCCTGAGGATGCAGAGGCGGCGCAGGTCGTCCACGCCGATCCCGGCGGCGGCTGACAGACCTGCACGGGATGGGGAGGGAGAGAGTTCACACGTGTTCACACGTGTTCACATGTGTCCTCTCATCACCTGCCTGCTCAGAAAATACTGCCTGCTCAGGTACGGCTCCCCCTCGGCAAGGGTAAGGCCAGCCCACGCCTCCAGATCTCTCCTGGATCACTGGCATTCCTCACACCTCCAGGTCTCTCCTGGATCACTGGCATTCCTCACACCTCCAGGTCTCTCCTGGATCACTGGCATTCCTCACGGCCAGCCCACACCTCCAGATCTCTCCTGGATCACTGGCATTCCTCACGGCCAGCCCACACCTCCAGATCTCTCCTGGATCACTGGCATTCCTCACATTCCTCTGTCGGTGTTCTGCACTCCTGAAAGGGTGCTGAAACACAAAACCCTCCCTGATCAGAGAATCACAGAAGGGTGGGCTGGAAAGGACCTTACAGACCATCAGTTCCACCCCCTGCCATGGGCAGGGACACCTTCCACTGTCCCAGGTTGCTCCAAGTCCCGTCCAACCTGGCCTTGGACACTTCCAGGGATCCGGGGGCAGCCACAGCTTCTCTGGGCAACCCGTGCCAGGGCCTGCCCACCCTCACTATCCCACCTAACCCTGCCCTCTGGCAGTGGGAAGCCATTCCCTGTGTCCTGTCACTCCAGGCCCTTGCAAATAGCCTCTCTCCCCCCCCAGCTCCATCAGCTGCTCCTGCTGCTCCAGCCCCTTTCCCAGCTCCGTTCCCTTCCCTGCACAAGGTCCTTCTTCATCCCCCACTTGGTGATAAACTGCTCTGTGCCCCTCCCTGGGCTCTCTTCCCTGGATTGTGACACAGGACCTGGTTTGGGTGGGAAGGGACCTTAAAGATCATCCTGTTCCAACCAGGGACACCTCCCACTATCCCAGGTTGCTCCAGCCTGGCCTTGGACACTCCCAGGGATCCAGGGGCAGCCACAGCTTCTCTGGGAAACCTGTGCCAGGCCCTCGCCAGCGGCAAAGAATTCCTTCCTAACATCCCAGCTAAACCCACATAAAGCAGATGGGATGAAACCCAAATGCCTCACAATGAGTGTAAACCCTCTTTAGGCAGCACAGTCACTGAACAGTTATTCCTGAGGTTTGCCAAGTGCTGCATTTTCAGTGTAGGAACTCAGGCTGGTCACCTGCAGGAAGCTGGATGAGCAAAACAACACTGCTCACAGCCAGCAAAACAAAAAGATAAATACAGCTGGCAAACCTCAATTCACAAGTAAGGCTAAGGCAAAAAAAAAAAAAGTTTAATACGTTCCTCAAAATGCCTTAAAACAATTCGTGGGACAGCTGGGAAAGAGCCACATGGCAAGACAAGGAACCAAGAAAACACCGTGGATGGCACACAAAGCAGGCTGAGACACGGAAGTACTTTCACTTTTAAAGGTACTCCAGGGACGATTTCAAGGATCTGGAATTTAGCAACTAAAATTAAAAAAAAAAAATTAAAAAAGAGAAAAACACTCTCAGTCTCTTCCTCGAGAATCTTAAGTTTTCCTACACACCTTTTAAAGGTACTTCAGGGACGATTTCAAGGATCTGGAATTTAGCAACTAAAATTAAAAAAAAAAATTAAAAAAGAGAAAAACACTCTTCCTCGAGAATCTTAAGTTTTCCTACTGGTTTGCCCAGTAATCTCCGTTGCTTTTTGTGAGCTCAGGTACCAAAGATCACTTTTCAAGCTCAGGTCTGAGCAGCCAAAAGCGCCTCTATCTTCCACTTGCTGCAGCGCAGTTAAGTGCAAACGCTCCCATTGTTCTCGGGTGAGGGAAACAAAAGCTGCCGATGCACTTACTGATGGCTGGGGCGATTCCTCCCACGGATCCCGGCCCGGGGATGTTCCCTGCCACGGCCGCGGCCTGGGCGGCAGCGGCAGCCTGGGCAGTGGCAGCCTGCTGCTGCATCTGGCGGTGGCACTGCCGCAAATCAAACACCTGGAAGCAAAAAAACATTAAAATATCGAACCGGTCAGACACGTCAGAACCAATAAAGGGAAGAATTCCCCACCCCCAGTAACCTTTCTGCACTCCCAGAGCGACTTGTGAAAGTGAACCTTCCCCGACTGGTTTCATTTCTGGCAGAAATAAATCCCTTTAAGATGATCCTCAGGGATTCTTCCCGTGATGTCACCACCACTGGCAGCACCAGAACCTGCCTAAAGCAGCACCTGGTGTAGAACTGACTGCAGGGTCACAGGCTGAAGGATGCTACAGCCTGAAGGATGCTACAGCCTGAAGGATACAGCCTGATCATATCCCAGCTTTTCAGTCAAAACCCCTGGACTTCCAGAAAAATAGACATATAAATAAAAAAAGCCAACAAATAAAACACATAAATAAATGAAAATATAACTATAAATAATAAAAAAATAAATAAGTGAACCCAACAACTTTGCTTGGCTGAGCTGTGCTGGTCTATTTAAAAGAAACACCAGGTGTGAAGCTGCAGGTTTCAGGTTTGATGGCATTCTGCACCTTTGTGATCACTAATCACCATTTGCCATCAATTAACCTACAGGAACTCTGTTCTCACACTAGAAGGCTCATACACAGAGGCTGGTGGAGTTTCTTTCACCTTCAATGAGTAACTTGCCTGCAAAACTGACGATCAAAAAAAATAACCCACGGCGGGTTTCAAGCAGTTCAACACAAGACTTGATTTTTGTCCAAAATAAACCTTAAAGCCTGGCAGAGCTGTGTCCAACTGAGAACCTCCTCAAAACACTTTGTTTCCACACAAGGGATCTCCGGATCACTTCCCTCTTCGTAACAGTTCAACACACACTTTACACTTTACTGAATTTTATGTATTTTCCCCGCTTTTCTTGTTTCGGAGAGAAGAAACTGACAACCTGTGCTAAAAACCCTAGCAGCAGCTGGTTTAGACCTAAAACCACAAAAAACTGCTGGTGATGAAACACGAAACGAACTTACTTTTGAAGCACCCCGACGACACCTCACAAAATCACTTGGGGTGATTTTTACGGGTCACCCCAAGCGAAATTCTCAGGGAAGCGAAGTCGCGTCCCTGTTTCAACGCCTCCCTAACACCTCCAGGAGCCAAATATATGTCCCCAAGCCCGCCAGTTTTCAGCCCAGGAGCCCCGGACCCACCTTTATGTAGGCGCTGGGGTAGATCTTGTGCACGGCGTCCCCCGGGGCGCGTCCCGCCTCCCTGTCCAGGTAGTAGCTCTGCACGAACACGGCGTGGTCGCTCAGGCACCGCACCCACACGTCGCCTTCCCCCTTGCACTCCAGCTGCACCCCTTTGCCTATGTGCAACCTGGGGGAGGGGGAAAAAAAAACCCAAAAAACAGAGCCAATGAACCCGTGTGCTCACATGGAACGAGCCACAAGTAGCTCCCTCCAGCCTGTGGCACCTCAGCTCACGCTCCCGCGAGGATTTGAAACTGGAGTTGTTGTTTTAGGGGGGAGTTGTTGTTTTAGGGGTGGGTTAGAACCCAGTTATGTGGGTCTGTGAAATAAAAACCCCACCTGTAAAGTAGTATAAAGATCTGTGGGAAACACAGAAGGCAGAAGCAGAGATACCTGATTAGCAACTACCACAACACGGGGCCGGGACACCCAACAGGCTCAGGAGTGTAAAGTCCCACGAGTATTTTTTTTTTACGGAAAGTCACTCAAGAACATTAAAAAAAAGGCATATTTTAATGCAGAACTGTTTGTCTGGATCGCAGCCTAACATTCTGATTGCCACAACGTGACATTTCCGGAGACAACGGAGTCGTTTTCTTCCTTCTCCTCTCAAAGAGGGGGGGAAGAAAAGCCACGAGATTGCTGCAGCTCTCCGTGCTTTGACGGTGAGAGAATGAAAACCCAGCAGCTCCCTATGAACCTCCCCTTGCTCCTTTGACAAATCCCTGCGTTGCAGCCCCACTCACCCCACCCTGTGGCGTGGAGAGCCAGCGCTCACCCTGCACACGTAACACCACGAGCCGCTCATTTCATCCCCAAAAGCAAAGCAGAGAAGGGCTTGCAAGGCTCTGCAGGGCTCTTGTCACACAGCTCAGCATCCCAGCTGCGCCCCAGGAGCAAGGTAGTCATATTAAACTATAAAATAGTTTGTTATAACTCCAAGGTAACTCAGCCCAGACAGACACACGCCGCAGACAAAACAAAGCCACCGCCGCGATCCCGCGGGGGCTCCCGGGGGTACCTCGCTCTCTCGATGGCCTCTGTTCTGTGCACGTTGGAAAGCTGGCCCAGGCAGAAGCGGTCTCCCCCGGAGGGATCCACGTATCCGTCCACGGTGACGATGGGGCAGCTGGAGGGGACCTTGAACGTCTCCCCGACCTGCACGTCCATCTCGAAGTACGCGATCGAACACCAGTACTCTGGGGCTGAAGGACATTCGGCAGTTAAGGCACAAAAAAAAAGCCCTATAAATCCGCCCCAGACAATCAATTAAGCCCTTCTGCAAAGCGCAGTTGTTGTTCAGAGAGGGGTGCACGTTCACACAAGGGGGTTTCGATAGACAAAGGTACGTCTGCAGCACAGGAAAATACTACACACGGGGACAAACGCGGGCTTGTTGCTTTCATCTGGGCACAAGTCAGGGCTGGAGGCTCTTGTAGCTGAGATCTTACAAGTTTTTGTACCTGTATCATAATCCCAGCTGGGTTTTGTAAGCCACCTGCACTCCTGCACTTCACAACTAACAGCTTTAGCATAAGGAAGTCGTACGTTTATGCCCAGGCCTGGCTGGGGCAGAAACTAAACTCTGAGACAGATCTGGCTTTGAGATACAGGAGGAATCACCTCCCAGGTGAAGTCAGATTTCTTTGCCCTCCCTGCAAGGGGAACTGGATCTGGAAAGCAGGGCAATGGGGGGGGAAAAACCACACATCAAAGATCACACGCGCTGATCTTGTCTGCGCGCAGAGCCGGGGACGGGATAAAACCAGGAAGCATTAAGAGGGGGAGCAGGACAAAACGGAGTGTTTTGACAGCAAAGAGGTGCCTTTTAACAACTTCTGGCTGCCTGAAAAGCTGCCTGCAGAGGAAAGGTGGCTGCCTACAAAGGAAGGAGCCGCCACGTGAGGAAGGAAGGCTCCCCAGAGGATTCCACTGAAACCCAAACACTCGAGTTAAGTGATGGAACCTGACAGAGGAGACAAGGTGGTTTTGCTTTTTCTGTGCCACCTGGGAGCATCTGGCCTGTCAGGCCTTCTGTGGTGTGTTGTGTGTGCTTTTCACTGTTAAAGAGTTTCTCTCCTCAGACACGTTAAAACCTGAAGCTGTCACAGAGCTGAAGCCACCGGGGATTCCGGGGACTCAGCGCTTCTGGTGACTGTGAGGATCCGTTTTCACAGAAGGGGTAACACAGCTGGGACGGGTTTGTTGGGGAGGGCAAAGAAAATCCTGGAATCACAGACTGGTTTGGGCTGGAAGGGACCTTAAAGCTTATCCCTGCCATGGGCAGGGACACCTTCCACTGTCCCAGGTTGCTCCAAGCCCCGTCCAACCAGGCCTAGGACACTTCCAGGGATCCCAGGGGCAGCCACAGCTTCTCTGGGCAACCTCAGAACCCTCAGGAATCTCTTCCCAATATCTAATACAGTGGGAAGCCACTTCCCCTGGTCCTGTCACTGTGTCAGCACCCAGAACAGGAGGAGCAGAACACGGTGGAATGGCCCCAAACACAACACCCCGAGAAGCCCAGGGGAAGGAGAGCTCTCCCCCACTGCTGCCACTGATCCTCCCACGCCACAAACAGCACAACCTGCCTGCCTTGAGGAACTGTTCTGGCTCTTATTAGAAAAAAAAATTAAACCGAGGTGCCTCAATTCCTTTTAGGTTTGTTTTTTTTATCTTTGAATAAATTGCTCCTGTCTGGGAGGACTCAGCGGGATGAAATCAACGCTAAAAAAATGTGAAATGCGACTTAGCTATGGTTAAGTTCAGCCAGCAACTATCAGCAATTTAATTCCTGGCACTGCCCTAGAGGAATAAACAAGGAATAAACTTTTAGGCTTCTCGACTACGTAGGTCTGTGCTCCAACAGAGATGTCCAAACTCAAAACCAGATTTATCGTGACACGGTTCCTCTCTTTCTCACAATATTAGCATATATATATATATATAAATATAAATCAATATTAGGATCACGTGTTAGAGTTTACTCACCAGGATGATTTGATATAGGAGGCTGGAATGCGAGCTCATTGTGAACTGGCCCTTGAAAAACAAAACATGCAATTCGTTTTTACACCAGGAAAAAACAGGTTTTCTTCCTTAGCTTGTTTTCCTACGAAATCACACCTCATCAGTTCCCTCAATCGCAGAACAAAGTTGTCCAGCACGCTGTGGACTTGACCATAAGAGATGGGAAAAAAGCCCCAGAGAGCTCATTTTCTAAAGGGGAAAAAAAATACTGAGCGCAGCCTTGGTACGAGCCGGATTCTTCTCTCCACTTTAAGAACTAACTGGGTGCAGAGAGCAGGGAGGAAAGACTCAAACAGTTATCCACAGCACCACCAGAGCCTTTTCCATCCCGGCATATTCCTCACAGACAACATGATCAGTGAAGTGGAGCCCTGACAGAGCAAAGCAATAAAATTTAACAATTGACTATGTATTGCATATTCTGATATGGGGGACATTCTAATAAATACTGTGCTAGAAAATAAACAGCTGTTCTAGCTTTTTGCCACAAAACTTAGAAAACTCACATAAAACTCACATAAACCCCCTAAAATGCATTTACTGTGCTACACACGCCTCCACTAGAAGTTTGATTGCTTTTTTTTTTCCCCTTCTCACCTCCTCTACCTTAAAACAAGAGAGATTGTTGTCCTGTTTCACAGGGGAAAAAGATTTTCAGCCCTGTGTGCTAATGCACTCGTGAATCAGGCTGTGGCAAAAAGACCACTTTTATTGATAGGTGCTCCATGCACAATGCTCCATGAAGTTCTTTTAAACTGGAAAGTGTGCATGGACACAAGTCTTCTAAAGCTTAGAACGACCTCAAAACCTCCAGAAGATGAAGACAGACATCACTGGACAAATGTTTCAAAACTTCCAAGTTTTGAAAGGAAAAAAATAAAATACTGGTGCTGAACCAGCTTCCTTTTTCTGCAAGGGAAACGCTCAGCACAGGACTGCAGAGCTTTGAAAACGGAGGTTTTAGGAAGGAAAACTGTGTATTCCATAGCCTTCCATGCCATTTCCCAGGAACTGTTCTCAACAGACCATTTACACCCTCTGCCCAGAGCAGCCCTGACCCCTCAGGCTGTAAACTGGGTGTTCAGAGGCCTGTGAGACAGGGGGGTGCTCCTGTCCTCACACCCAGGGTGGAACTCCCAGCCCTGAGGGAGGTGCTGGGCAATCCTGCCTGGAGGATAGATAAAATCTTGGAGTCTTGGGACTTTTTTAACCACTCGTGGGATACAGAGGAAGACTGCAGAGCATCACTTTTCAACCAGACTGAGACCACCACTCTCAACCAGACTGCAACCACCACCCTTGACCAGACTGAGACCACCACCCTTGACCAGACTGA